CAGCGTTTACAACTGCACGACAGCAGATTCAAAGTGCCTCGTTGCCATGGCAAGGCCGGTCTCCTCAACCTTTGCAACTCATCTCCTTCGATCATTGATTCTTCTTTGTCAAATCGCAGCCTGACGCATCCTAGTCGGAGCGTTTGAGTCAGAGAGAAGGAATTTGCTCCTATGCTAGGTCACTGAGTACGCCAATTTCGTAAAACAGTTTGATCCGAACCATTTCCTTAGCCCGCGTCTCCTATATCGACTTTCTTGCCTTGTGTCTCAGGCCTTCGAACTAGGGAACCGCAGGACTGGAGGCTCGATTTCGGCACACCATCATCTGGGTATCTGTGCGTTCTCTGAGGACACCGGGCAACAGCAACAGCCCCAGCACATGAACACAAGACTGTCATTTAAATCGTCACTGTTAGCTTCGAACCGACGTCCGGGCCAGCCCCTGCACGTCCCATTTGGTCGACACTTGCTCCGTGGCGACTCCAAGCCTGAACTGACGACATCTGCGACCTCGCCAGTCGTTTTCAGCGAGTCTAGCCTCTCGGAGGAGGAAGAAGAAGATGGTGATGAAAGTGAGGAAGAGGAAGAGAATGAACAACAAGGGAAGGCCGTCGGCAGCTCTGCGAAAGGCCTCGGAAGTGGGGAGGGGGTCGAAGGTATGGGCGTTTCGCCAACTTCGGGACGAGGGCCAAACCCTGCGATCACCCCAGCGGCGCGCTGTCTTCCACGCTTCAAACTCCCCCAAACGTCGTTTTCTGTTGCCTCAGTTGTCTTCTTCGATGCAGCACAAAGCCAGCTCCCATCCCAACAGCAAAAGTCGCAGGATTCAGCCAACGACAGCGGCACTGCGAACAGCTACATGACCTTGTCAATCTTCATACTACTTACGGACAGACAGAAGCGGTATCCTCGAACAAGGCTCAGCTCGCTACCAGAAGGCCTGCCTTCTAAAGTATGTCTCCTCTGGACCTCTCTAATGCCTTTTATTGTACATTTATATAGTGCATTATACAATGGTAGGGGGCGCTCACCGATCGTTCCTTCGGAACTCACTCGTTCCGTTGTGCCTTAATGGCTCTCTCGAGCCCTTATGCATTATTGCATACGTACCATACATCTTTAGCATTTCAGTGCAAACAAGCTTAACGTTGATTCAGTTGGTTTTCCCTCGGCAGATTAACAGGCGGTAAGACCCTTGAAATCTATATAAGCGATAGTAGGTAGTCGCCTTTCTTCGATCACAGTCACAGTTCTAGAAGGCTAAAGTGGTTGATATTCACGTACTTTTGTTAGCGAAATGTGTGTGAGGAGTAAATAAAGGAGTGTGAGAAGCTGAAACAACAACTGTTTCTTGGCTCGTATGCTCTCATTAGGCCACTGTTTTTGACTGGAAGCAAAAGCATGCGCGCTCACGTGCACAGTGCGCGAAGTGTCCACAGATGAACTGACTCACGTGTCAGGAAGCACGGCAATCCGAGAAAGATGGAGCCATGCAGTGAAAGCGCCGGCAATATGATGGGGCAAGTGTTGCCTGTTGTAAAATGAAACCTCACTCAGCCATCTAGCCAGCCCTGCAGCCCTATAACTATTGTGGTGGTGGAGTGAACGGGGACGTTCATTGTGGAATCCACGGAAAGCACAGAAACCTACCCAACCCACCAGGCATCCCATGAGCCACCGCACAAACAGCTTTTCGGGTAACGGGGTAACTAGGGTCTGCACGCACCTGTTGAAATTCAGAGGGGACTGAGATCGTCCGGAGGGCAAAGCCTCCCAATAGTGACAGTGTGTCAACTGCGCCGAAAGTCCACAAGTGGGTCCACTGCCAGTCCGCTTTTGCCAGGGCAAATCTTACTTGTTGGTACTAACGAAAGGTCGACTTCCGGGAAGCAGTTAAGAAAGAAGGGATGCATTCGTTGGAACTCGAATTTCATCTTTTGTTGGGCAAGTATGCAATCAGGAAAGTCGCATAAATGAAATCAGCAGACGGATTGATTTGACCTTTAGAACAGATAACCGAGATCTGCGCAGTGCATCCTTTAAGATGCCTTTGTGTGATATTGGCTTCGCTGACTTCGCGTTTTCCAGGGTTATTTTTAATCAGGCCGTTATTTCTTGGAATTTTCTGCTTGTCTGTCCAGATAATTTATTCCTCATCACATTCCGATATGACATGCCAAAGTTTGTAGGATTGCATGTTTTTCCTTGGTTTACGTTCCATCCATTTCACATCTTTTCGGGCTGGCATTGCAAAACTTCCCCCGAAAAGGGCTGACACATAAAACTTCCCGTCTATCTTTCAGCACACTGCTCCCGTCCATTGGCCAGCCATTCGACCCAGCTTCAGTTTTCACTCCGATCTAAACAAGATTCCGTCTCTGCAACGCTCTGGTAGTCATGAATCTGCCAAATCCATTGTGGATGACAGTGACACCAAGTTCTCTGCTTCCAAGGGGCCGCGCATTCGTCACACCTCCCTGATGATCCGTACCAAACAGGAAACTACCGAGATGGAAAATCCCCTCCAGCGCTATAGCCTCAATATTCAAGACCTCAGGAGACGGCAGCCCACCATGGCAGACCCCGGTTTGCGTTGGAAGATCTCCTACCTCGGCGTTTGGCCCTCACACCAGATTAACCTCAGCAGGGCCTTCACGAGGATTTCCAACGCCTGGCGTAAGGCCATCCCCGAGATTACCAATCTGGCCATACTAAATTGCCATAAGAATTTTCTCTGGTACCGCCTCTTCGATCCAAAGTACTTCCCCCTGCAGTGCTGCTTCGAGACGCGCGGTCTAGAGCAAGGAGAGGACATTGTGGCCTCTCAGTCGACCGCCAAGCCGCTTCAAACAAACGTCCATCGGGGTTTGACTTTGGAAGAGTTCAAGGTAAAACAAGGAAAGACCGTCTACCATATACAGCCTATACAGGCTTTGGGGATTCTCTTATTTAGCGTTTTGGTCAAGCGCGACTAAAGCATAACCCTCATTCGCAGTGGTGTCCTGGGATTTTGCACACTGTAACAGCTGACGGCTGAAGTTATGCTTCTTTCTTTTCAGATTAGCATCAATAATTACAATCAGCCTAAAAGATTCGAAAACGAGTTGCTTTATTTAGAAAAAGACCGATCACCTCCACACGCACCTTGGTGAAATCTTGCCGAACGAATGGATTGGACGAAGGGTTCTGCCTAGTGCCACCCTCCTTCGTTAGACTTTACACGTCTAGACCCCTTTGTGGGTATGCTTAAAAGTTAGTCTCTGCGCCACAAAACCCACAAAAGCCGCCAAATTGACTGTAGACATTAAATGGGAACGTGCTAAATATACCAAACGAGGCGTTTTTTGATATTCACGATTTCATCGCTTTGCGCTTCCTCCGTTGCCTGAATCCAAACGGAGGGCTGTTTGAAAAGAGGCGTTGAAAACACCACTAAGCAATGCCTATGTCTGATGTTGTATTTTAAACATGAAATATATTTTAGTAAACATGAACTTTATAAATACCCGTGCACTTCGGGACGTTTTGACATATATATGTATTATGATGAAGTGGCGCCCACTGTTACTAGTCGCTCTTCGACTGCCTGTGAGGGTTCGAGATTGAGCCCCAAGGCAAAAAGGGACGCGCATGTCAAGTGGCCCATTGGTAGAGTTTCCGACTCAATGAGCAAAGATCCCGGGTTCGAATCCCAGGCGGTTCACACTTTGGACTGGGTATGACTGGCGGATGACAGCTAATAAGCCCGAAATAGCCATTCCGGTCTCTCTTGTTTTTGCCGGTTATACTATTCTGCATATACTTATATATATATTGAAAAACAGGCATCCCAAGAAATATAATTAGAAAGGTGAAGTTCTTTGGGAAACAGTAAAATTTTATTGTGAATTTTCGAGACTGGTTCCCCAGCTCGTCTTCAGACAACGGGTGTGCAAAAACAATTAACTTTTAGACTGAGTCTAGCAAAAGGAGTCCATGATTGGTTAAGGTTGTCATCTCGGGATTGGCTGACTCAGTTTGAATCTGTCCTTAACGATTTTTTATGTGGCATCTAAATCGATATGCCAGTTAATGCATGCCTCATCTGAGTGCATTGCCTCCAGGAATTCGCGGCCTTTTCTTGTTTGGCTGGCGCCAACAATGCGAGTGTTCTCCCATGCGAATTTATGCCCAGTGTCTAGTGTGTGCATGGACACCTGGGATAGATGGTCGCGTCTCTTCACCGTTAACTGATGCTCATGTATACGGGTTGAGACAGATTTCCCAGTTTGGCCACAATAAACGGCATCACAACTAGAACACGGAATTTTGTAGACGACACCATTTCTTTCGAGGTAGCCGACCCTGTCCTTAGGGTGCACAAGCTGTGTGCGTAAGGTAGTTGCCGGCTGGTGTGCTACGTGTATCTGGTACTTTTTCAATTGTCTTTCGACAAGTTCAGATACATTTTTGACGTATGGGAGAGTTCGCCATGTTGTTTGTGTTGGTGCCTGAGTGGCCGTAGCATTGGAAATACCTTTTCCCATGAGTTGCTGGCGCCTCATGCATTGACGTATAAAGTCATGCGGGTACCCATTTTGGGAGAACAGTTTGTAGAGATATTTCATTTCTGCTCGATAACTTGTTTCGTCAGAGCAGTGAGTTTTGGCTCGATTCAGAAGGCTGTAGACTGTGCTCCGTTTGTGAGAGACAGGGTGGTTACTCTCAAAGTGTAGGATGACCTCTGAATACGCCTCTTTGCGATAAACTGATGTCTGGAGGGACCCATCGCTTTTTCGACGTACAAGGACATCCAGGAATGGGAGTTGTCCATCGACCTCTGTTTCCAAAGTAAATGTAATTCCTGGAAATATGGAGTTAATATTGGTATGGAGCAGATTCAACTGATCTTTCTT